ACACCCAAGGCCAAAAAATTAAGACCGCCACCTATTTATGTTCGACAGGCAAATTGTGCTGAACTGGTCAAAAAAATAACTGATACAATTGGCGCAAACACATTCTATGTCACGTACATAAAAAGGGGTAATATAAATGAAACAAAAATACAAGTCAATGACGAACAAAACTATCGATCAGTTGCGAAATACCTCGAAAATGAAAAAATGAATTACTACACCTACCAACTTAAAAGTAGCAAAGGATTACAAGTGGTTATCACAGGAATCGAACCAACAGTCCCAATCAATGAGATAATAGATGGACTTAACGATAAGGGCTTGAAGTTCACCCAATATACAAGCTTCAATACCTACTGCACAGTAGGATCACCGTTGAGGAACCACACAAACGAAATGGACCGGTCCAATGCACAAATTGCCAGGAATATGGACACACGAAAACCTATTGCACTCTACGGGCAGTCTGCGTTGCCTGTGGTGATGTTCATCTCACTGAGGCCTGCCCCGTAAATAAGGAGGACCCATCTGCCAAAAAATGTAGCAACTGTGGGGGAAACCATACTGCCAACTATAGAGGTTGTCCTGTCTATAAAGAATTGAAAAATCGCCTAAACCAACAAATAACTGCAGCTCTAAACCCGGTCGTCCGACAAAACTTAACATATATACCATCAACTACGACTCCAGGAGTTTCTTTTGCTCAGGCGTTAAGTTACAACAACGGGTCGTACGCCTCAGTCTCTAAGCCGACACTTCAACCAACCACAGCTGGAATAATGCAGAATCAGGCATCAAATCAGATCCCAGAAATCTCTGCCCAACATACCCCTGCTAATCCATCCCAATTGCCTAGTGGAATTGAGTCAATGCTGGTAACTATAACAAATACAATGGTAGCAATACAACAAACGATGCAGGAGCTTATGCGCAACCAAAATCTCCTCCTGGAGCTCCTAATCAAACAGAAATCTGTTTAAATGTCCTGTCTAAATATATGTTTCTGGGTTGCAAATGGCATTTCTCAGCACAAATGCGAGCTCTTACAGTTCCTCGCTCAACACGACATTGACGCCATGCTCATATCAGAGACTCACCTAACAAATAAAAACTATTTTCACCTCGATGGCTATAACTTCTATGCGACAAATCATCCCGATGGTAAGGCACATGGAGGTACTGGCGTTCTGATCAAGAATCGCATTAGGCATTCCCCATTGCCTTCATTTTCTACACCTTATCTACAGGCAACAGCAATTCATAGTGAAATTCAGAGCGGCTACCTAAACCTAGCCGCAGTATACTGCCTACCACGCTTCTGCATTTCCGAAACAGAATTTGTAACATTCTTCGACCCACTAGGTGGCCGATTTATAGCAGCTGGTGACTACAATGCCAAGCACACCCATTGGGGATCTAGACTTACCAACCCGAAAGGAAGACAACTATAATATAACTCTATAATAACGCCACGAAAAAAGCTAGACTTTATCTCTCCGGGCAAGCCCACACATTGGCCCACGGATCCAAACAAGCAACCCGACTTGATTGATTTTGCAGTTACACGAAGGGTGCTGCAAGCTCAGATTAATGTAGATCACTTAACAGATCTATCATCGGATCACTCGCCCATTCTACTTCACATTTACGAACATCCACAGCTTTCGGAACGCCCACACTTTCTAACTTCTAGCAAAATAGATTGGCTCAAATACAGGAAGTACATAAGCTCTCATATTGATAGCTGCCCAAACATTAATTGTAAAGATGACATTGATAGGTCAGTCGAAGCATTGGTTTCCTCAATGTCACTGGCGGCAAAACACTCAACACCAATATTATTATCAAATAAACATTCCAACAGCAGTCGTATTTCTAGGCACAGTGAAGTGCTGCTACGCGATAAAAGAAGGCTTCGCCGAGAGTGGCAAGCACACAGTTCACCTGCATCGAAAGAGCTGCTAAAAATAGCCAACCACCTACTACGCATAGCCCTAGAAGATGAAAAAAACCGAGCTCAAATATCCTATATGGAGCAACTCTCCCCAACTAGCAAACGATTCCCACTGTGGAAAGCAAAATCAGGCATATGCCCACCAATCGAGAGAGAATCACCTGCCAAACCGCTTGCCGTCCATCTAAAAAACGTCTTCAAACCACACCCAGAAACAAATAGCTTTGTGCTCCCACCAACCAACCATCCCGAAGCTACTCCGCCTATCATATTCCAATCAGGAGAAGTCACAAGGGTCATTAAAGACCAAATCTCAAAGCAAAAGAAAGCTCCGGGCCACGATTTCATCTCCCCTAAAATGATCATAGAATTGCCGAGCTGTGCAGTGTATTTCCTTACTGTGATATTCATCAGCATGACGAAATGGGGCTATTATCCCCAAGAATGGGGGAAATCAGTCATCACAATGATCCATAAAGCCGGAAAAGACAAGTCCAAGCCATCATCACATAGACCTATCAGCCTACTGCCTTGCCTATCAAAGATATTTGAAATGCTGCTCCTGAATCGTATCAAACAACACCTACACATCAACGCGTTGATGCAACGGTGCCATCCCGACTCACCAATTTGGATTTCGCGAAAAACACGGAACCATTGAACAAGTAAACCGTATAACCTCTGAGATACGAAATGCATTTGAAAGACGGGTGTATTGCTCCGCTGTTTTTCTGGATGTCGCACAGGCTTTCGACCGCGTTTGGTTAGATGGCTTAATCCACAAAATCAAAATATTACTTCCACAGAACATCCATGGAATAATGGAGTCATACCTACAGCAAAGAAGTTTCGCAGTACGATGCAAAGATTTCCTCTCTGAATATCATCCAATTGAAGCTGGTGTACCGCAAGGCAGCGTGCTTGGACCGACACTGTATATCATATTCACAGCAGATCTACCGACAAACAGCCTAACAACAACTTCGACATTTGCTGATGATACTGCCATATTAAGTCGCTCCAAGTGCCCAAGAAGGGCCACGGATCACTTATCATCTCATCTCGTGGCCTTAGAAAAATGGCTAGCAGACTGGCGGATACATTTAAATGAGCAAAAGTGCAAGCATGTCACCTTCACGTTAAACAGACAAACTTGCCCTCCATTATGTCTGAACAATATCAACATTCCACAAACCACCGAAGTAACATACCTTGGTGTTCATCTGGATAGAAGGCTTACTTGGCGTAAGCACATCGAAGCGAAGAGAAATCTACTTAAATTTAAAGCTAGTAATTTACATTGGCTAATAAACACCCGTTCACCACTAAAACTGGAGTACAAAGTACTTTTGTACAATGCAGTTCTCAAACCCATCTGGACATACGGCTCCGAGCTATGGGGAAATGCTTGCGTTAGTAATTTAGAAATAATCCAGAGAGCTCAATCGAAGATACTAAGAACTATCACTGGGGCACCATGGTACATACGGAATGAAAATATCCATAAAGACTTAAATGTAGGATCAGTTAAAGATGAAATTGCCAAAGTGAAAGCAAAGTACCAGGCCAAGCTTCAAGCCCATCCTAATAGACTTGCGCAGTCTTTAACTTGGCACACTAGCCATACACGACTCCGGCGAAGAGACCTTCCCACCCAGCAATAATACTTAGCTAGGGACGTACTCTAAGTAATTAAGTGTAAATAATTAAATAAATATATTAGGCTAAGATTTGTATACTTATCGTAAGTCTCTAATAGGGAAGATTCGATAAATAAAATCCCGTAATAATAAAAAAAAAAAAATTTCGTCCTTTGTGTGAAATTTTGAAATACACTTGTAGCAGTGTGATATCACATGAGTTTGGAAACCAAATTTGGTTACCCTAGCTCTTATAGTCTCTGAGATATAGGCGCTCATCAAGACAGACATGGCTATATCGAAACGGCTATTGATGCTGATCAAGAATATTTATACATTATGGAGTCGGAAACGTTTCCTTCTCTGCGTTACACACATCCCTTAACTTAACCCCTTAACTCTTTTTTGAGTACGGGTATAAGAACCAATTGTTTTAATATGCTAAAATCAATAAAACTGCAACATAAACCCTATTCGAATTGAATCTTGAAAGGTGTCAGCCCTAGCCTTAGTTCGAATTTGGTTTGTGAAAATGCTAAGAAATATGAAATCCCTTGGAATTCTGTGGCATGGCGAAATTTTTAAGCGGAAGTCCTCTGCGCGGATTGCCTTTTCACTAGTGATTTCTGTGGCACCCCTAATTATTTATTATTTGTATTAATTTTTATGAATATAAAACAAACATTTTGATTGTAACTCCTCTGGCACAGCAAGAGCTGCCAATCCCAAGGATTATAAATTAATTATACTTTTTTTGTATGTATATAAAGTTACTTTTGTCCATTTCCAATTATGATCTTCAAAACATGTTATCTATATTCGAGTCCCGTCAGTCGCACGGGCAGCCTCGCCAACTGGTGCTGTTCATAGCTCGACTCATTCCATTGCCAATACAATAATGCGGGATTCAGGGAAGACCTGGGGAAGAGTGATTCCAGCCAGAAAGGTTCGTTTAATTTTAATTTGTTTAATTTTAATTTAATTTGTTTACTTTAACCAAATTTGTAAGCAAAAAAAAACAGCTGACTAAGCAGTGTAACCAGACCAGATATGCTGACCTGTTTACTTTCGGCCGCTAGAAAAATATATAGCACTTTTTGCTAGCAAACATTTTTTTCGAAACTGTGTATTTACTAGCCTTTAGGAGGAGACACAATGATAAATGGTTGTTCTTGTTTTTATGTTATGTTATGATACAAACTATAATTCTTCCGCTGATCTGCTAACATACATACATATATGTATGTCGCTTGTACTACCTCGTTTTTATTGCTGGTCTCGCAAACCTACCAGTTAGATGGTAGATAGCCCATATAACAGGCAATATAGTTCAGTGTCTCAACCTTTACGGGAATGCCCTTACTCGAACGTAAAAAGTAACAACTTGAATATATTTATTTCTACATGGTGGCAGGAAAAAAAAATCGTTTCATACCATCCTCAATTTGTCTAAAAGCTGATGGGATTTTGTTGCAAGTAAATTAATTATCTCAAAAGTATGGGGAAAATTGAAGGTAATAGTAATTGTTTTATGTTTCAACATGTAAATATTATTATTAACTTTAAATACTTTAAGATCGACGCTCAAAACGGTCAAAACGTCAGAAGCCAGCAAGATTTGCTTCTCCCACAGAGTCATCTTTGGAAAGTCTTGCACTCAACATCGAGCCAACGCCAGCCCCGTGTCAAGAGATTCCAAAATCTTTGGCGCTGGTGGAACATTCTGTAAATAGAGAGGCCCAGACTCGCAATGTGAATATCCTTGAATTTGTAAACATCCGCACAAGACCTGCGTGCACAAAAAAATCAGCTCAGGCCTCCACATCGCCCAACAATGCAATGAAAAAGATAAAACGGCGACGAAACAGCGATACTTCTAGCGATGAAGAACGGTGGCTTAATGCCATTGAAACTGGAAAGCTAGACGATGTCGACGAAGAGTTAAAAAAGATTAAAGACCCCAAATTAATGACGGCTCGTCAACGAGCTATGTATGAACGGACACAAGATGCTGATAGTAATATGATTGGATTTGTCGAAGAACTAATTGCACTACCCAGTGGATATAAGGAAAAGGAAAAACCTCAAACCGCGGAAGAAATCCAAAAAGCAGCTCTAAAGTCGCAAAAACGTAAGCAGCAGGCGGACGAGCGGCGAGAAAAAGATAAACAAAAAACCATGGATCGCTTGCTAAAAAAACAGGAGAGCAGTAAACACCGCTCTGGCGTTCGCAACAAACAAGCACAAAAGCCTTCATACCCACAACTTACATATATTAATACTATTGAAGGTGCCTACATCTTGGTACCTCCAGGTCATCAGTTTCCCATGGAAGCGAAAGTTTCGCGCCCTCCGCCACCACCTCAGTTTTGTTGCATTAGTGACTGCGTAAATCGTAAGACATATTCCTGCTCCAAAACTAATGTTCCTCTATGTAGTCTAGTTTGCTACCGTAAGCATCGAACAGCTGAAAATTTACAAAAAAATGCAAAACGTATAGTTTAAATGTTTTTATACACTTTTTTTATTGATTCAATAAAAAGTTATTTATGATTTCTTGCTGCTCCGTTTCTGTACGTTGCAAGTACTGGTACTCGCTCTTCAAACGCTCTAGATTGACTGTCTGTTCCAAAATCTTGCTCTGACATACTTGCTGCTCAGCTTGCCGCTGTTGCGACATTGTTTTAAGTTGGTTTTGCGTCCCAATCGCTCGCAGCTTTTCCACTTCGACATCTTTAGCAAATGTATTTGATATTTTATAGAAGTCATGGACCAGTCTCTTAAAATTTAGAAGGTTTCTTGAATATTCCAGGCACTCGTGTCTCAGCTCTATTTTTTGAGTGGCAATGCTGGGATCCTGAACTCGCAGTCTGTAGATATCGTCTATGAACAATCCAAATTTTTTCAATTCCTCCATTTTGACTTTAATAACTAATATCTTTTTACAAAAACAATCGATTTTAACTTGGGTATACCGTCACATCAAGCATTCTCGCATATAAACATTTTCTGTTATGTCAAGACTTCGTTGTCATAGACAACGAATTCGTTTGGCTAAGCGCCGGCCCATGGCAGCACAAAGTGCAGTTGAGTATATGGAACAGCTCTTAATACACCGTCACTCTTATGCTTATGCTCTTGCTAGTGCTTTTCTCTTTCTCGGCGTTCGTCAGCCGCTGTGAGGGAGGCTCGTCGCTATCGCTCCGCCATTAAAATTAATCGTAAATTAATTCGCGAAAAAGCGCTCGGGGTATGCATGGGTACTAGTACTCGTGCTGCCCATGAATATCATCCATTCGTGTAATAATGAATAATAGAAAAATTGTCAACGCTTGAGAGCACTAGCTCGGTAAAGAGCACAAGCACTGTAACCAAGTGAAAGAGGAGAGAGCACGCTCTCTCTCCCCTGCATTGCAAAGTGGGTCATGGAGTGCTCAGTGACCATCCCCCGACTCGTACTGCTTAACCAACGATTCGCTAATATCAACAACAAACTGTGTCTTCGAGCACAACAACGACAACATCCACTGCAATTGCTCAGCGCCCGATACTGTCGACCCACTGCGACAAGCCCCACCAATAAGTTCGAAAAACGCTAACGGAGCGTTAATTCAGACTGCGCTCGATCGCTTTGTGGAAATCAAAAGAAAATTGAGCGCACAAACTGCGAAGAATAATTTGTCTGGACGTTGATATGTAATGGCTGCAACATCAAGTGGCCCCATGCTAGACCAAACCGAGCCTATTACGCGCGGAACCCAGGCAAAAACGCAACAACTCCTCCCGCCCAACCGACCGAGGGGCGCTGCCGAATGTCTCGCGACGCGTGTTACCGAACCGATTGCGAGCATGCAGGAAAGATAGGTGTTAGACTAAAATTCGAGGAAAATTAGAGCTTAACATGCAAAGATAGCTAAGAAGCTAAGATTTAAGAAGAGGAAGGGAATTAGTGGTGGATATTATATGGTAGAGGGAATTGAAGTCCGAGCATAGGGCCGGGCACTTAAGGCACTTATAGGACCCTAAATGGTTCGTGCAAGGAATAATTTGATCTACAAAGTTTCTAGTAGATCTAATAAGAATCGTAAAGTTTAAGCGGCTCAACAAGTCAGGGCTATCTACGCCCAAAATCACACCAAGCATTTTTCTACGACTAACTAAGGTTGGAAGGTTTATTAAAAGCAATCCACGAGGGTGGCAGTCTCACACCGGCTTCCCAGTTAAGGCCACGCAGAGCAAAAAGTAAAAAGTTTTTCTAGACTGATTCTATACGGTCGTGGTGTACTTTGTACTGGTCGCACCATACATAAGAGCCTTACTCTAAAATCGGACGAACAAGCGAGATATAGAGAGTCTTCGTTATATATATATATAAACCCAAGCACGCCCATGGCCTTGTTTACTATGGTAGAAATGTGTTCAGAAAACTAAATCTTGGGGTGTTAAACTAGACACTAGACCAAGATCATCAACCTTTAAAGATCAAAAGGTAAACTCTAATAAATTTTCGGTTGTTGATCGTCCTCTTATAAATCCGTACTGAGATGGAGATATTAGTGAATTGCAGAGATGTTGCAAGTGCGTAGTTAAAATATTTTCAAACATTTTAGGAATAGCGATAACTTAGATATACCTCCAAAATTCTTTGCGTCAGACTTACTACCTTTCTTATAAAGAGGAATAATAAAAGATTCCTTCCAGATCAGGGGGAACCCTGAAGCATTAATGGATAGGGTGAATAGCTTAAGCAGAGCACACAGAGCGTCGGCACAGTGCCTAATTACACTGCCGGGAACTCCGTCAGGACCTGGTGAAAACACCGGCCTAACTAGTCGAAGATCATAAAGCAGTGAGCTTTCATTTAACACGGGGGTGAAAATTCCGTTCAACCTTGGTAAACTGTATGGATACGGCTGACCAGAGTAACTTTCATGAGAAAAGGTTGTTTGGAAAATTTTAATCGCTGCTCCCAGCTTAACTGGAAAGCCAGGTTGGCGCATATATTTCTCTCGCTCTGACTGCAGCCATTTCCCATAAGGCCATCTCTATTATTCCAGCTAGTCAGTTAGCAAAGTTTAAAATTTACGAAAATCTGTGGCCGGCACAATTTTAAAGATACGCAGTTCGTAGAAAATGACAATGTCTACCAGGTTGCCGAATCAGATCGGATCATAATTATAGCCAGAATGAAGAAACTAATTTGCAGTTGCTTTCCCCGCCTTCTGCAGCAAGAGAACCACTACTCCTTCTCTTCCCCGCCCGCGCTATTCCGCGCTCAGTGAGCAAGCGCCCTCTAGCGGAGAATATGTAGAATCTAAATGGTACATATAGAATCTATATGTTAGATGTATAATATACATTGTAGATGTAGCAAAAAATAATGTAAAATGTAAAATAATTTTTTTAAATTCTAAAATTCTTAAAAATCATAGGCTCAAAAATGTATATACTGACTGAGTACGGGTATAAGTAGAGTCGGGTCCCCAGAAGCGACTCACACGTTCCATCTAGTTTTATTTCCGATTTTGAGTTTGGTTTAAATAAAAATAATTTGTAAAAAAATTACATTGGCAATGGTGTCACATCCATGTCAATGCTAGCTACCTACCATTCTCCCCAGAAAAAGCGTGGACGGAAGGCAACAATAGCCAAACTTTCCACTAAGCGCACCAAGAAAATTCCATCTAAACCATGAACTCAGCGCACCAAGGCTCTATCTGACGATGATCAGGAAATTCCAAGGAAATTGACCGCCGCAAGCTCCATTAAATGAAATGAATGTAACAAATGAATGCGTGCCAGCTACTTCACTACTGTCATCTTTATTATTTATGCCAGTAAGGCTCTTTAAATAAATAAACTTTTAGTTTGTCGTTATTTGTTGTGATTTCCTATCGTATTATATTAATTTTTAGTGGATTTCTCAGGGGTCACATAACAGGGCTTATTTTTTTTGTCTCGAAAAAAGATCGCTTCCGCAAATTCTTGATAGCATTTTTCTATACGAAGGAATATATTTAGTTATTTCACTGACAGTTACCTAACACCTCTAGCTTTAAATTGGTATACATGTTTGTGTAATATGTAATTGGTCAAAAGTTATGAGGCAAGAACAAAACGGTGTCATCAACCGGGCCCTCTCCCTTACATACATACTCGTATATCATACATGTACATACATTATTCTGTATAGAGAATCAAGGATATTTATATGTATGTATTTAAACAATAGGACAAGCGATGGGCCTTTTAATATTATGTATTTATAAACAGTTTCAGATAAGGTTAATTTTTATTTAATCTCTATAGTAATGCATGCGTCTTCCGATCACGTATTATACATACATATTTTGACGCTAGAAGTCAGAAGTAAGAGCTAAACTAGTAGGCTAGGCAAAGCAATCAAAACTAAGATAAATGAAAACCTATGCATGTCATGTAGGGTTGTTTCGTTTGTTGGATCGCAATCGCGCTAGTCCAGTCCGCTCTTCCTCTTCGTCACTTGTATACTGATGCATGCTAGTTCCGCTGACACCCCCTACACGTACGGAAGACGTGGCCTGCATTAGGTCTTGGTCAGGAGCGTTTCGATTCTCGTATAGCAACACTTGTAGTGTTTCTTCGTAAATACGTGCCTCGGGAAATTCCACTTTAGTATGTTTTCGATCAGTTGCATACACTATAGAAGTACAACACACCTCAGCAACCTTTTTTCCGTGCCCGTAAAAGGACCAGCAACAGATTTCACTTGGTCCTATAACATCTTTGATGAACAAAATACGTTCATTGAAGCGCAAGGAGAGCTTGTCGAAAAGTTCAATATTTTTTAATAAGTTGTCATCGGATGTGCTTGTGTATGAATACTTGTTGTTTTGTCGTTGCACCACTAATATAACAGCCGGTTTCGAAGACGCGCTGATAAGAAGTTGTTCCTCTTTCTGCGAAGTTATAAGTGGAATGCGACAAATAGGTTTTGGCTCAATGTGTGCATATAATGCCCGCTCACATGACATGGCAAGCTCGGTAATGCAGTAGTACTTTGATTCTGCAAGCAATTCAGCTATTTCTTTGTTAGTTTCGGGTAATGGGACACTACCATCGCGCAAAAAGTTAAGAATGATTCCGAAGTGATTTCCACAGCGATCTATTAATATCCAACCTGCAATGCGAATTTTTCATATATTTCGAAATGATTTCAAAATAAACACATATATTAAATACCTTCTGAGTCAGTTAGCACCTCCATGCGTCCACTAAACATAGCGCTTAGCATTGTATCATTATGTTTTGTCAGTGTGCCGATCGTAGTATAATACAAGCGACCACCAACATTAAGCTTGACATACTGAGATGAATGCCCTTTTAACAACACTTTCTGATCACCGGACATGACTTCAGACTGCTTGGCATGAAGCACAAGTTGATGGCTACTTGCCACAGGTTCCAAAATCACTTTGTCTTGTAGAGCAGGACCCAGGTCGTCTTCAATACATCCAGCTATATCTTTCTGTGCAACGCCCTTTTGTTTAGAGCTTCTGCAAACGCTATCTCTTGCGTTGCTTACGCCCGCACAATCATCAAACGTTAACGGATCAATTTTGACGAATAATGTGTAAGCAGTCAAGACGAAAAGTTGAAAAAGTTTTGGTTAAAGGCAGTATTTGGTATTTGGAGAAAATTCGATGTCATCAATGTTTGAGTCATCGATAATTTTTCTCAAACATCGATGTTTTTAGTTACACTAGAATAATTAATAAATTTCATAATTTAATTATTACAGAGCTTAAAAAGATGATGTTTAGTTGTATATATGAAATAATATACATATATGGAACGGTATATACACTTCTTATTTACATACATTCACATTCAAAACTTAACCCATTAAAGTCTGCTTCTAGACGGCTTGATAACATTTTGATATGCTACCCTTATTATAATAGTTTATTGAAAAAATAATAGTACCACTACGAATACCTAAGAATAGATAAATAATTCAGCAACATAGTTATTTTCTTAGAAAAAAATGTACTATGTTTTTGCCCTAATTTTTGTTATTATATTCTCATAAAAGATATTTATCGATATCGGAATAGACGGAATGTAGTAGAAAATGCGTTAATATGCGCAGGTTTTTGCGTCTTGAGAAGGGCCTATTTATATGCTTGATGACGAAGAAATTAAGCAAATTGTGGCAAATTAGCGAAATTATGCAGGACAACGACAAAATAGAGGTTTCTGTCTGGGTTCCGCGCGTAACAGGCTTCGGCTTGGTGTCGCAAGGGCCACTTGATGGTGCAGTCATTGCATATCAACGTCCAGACAAAGAGAATTGATTTTCATATTTATTTATTATTCTCATACAGTTTTTTGTAGAGTTTGGGGAGTTCTTCTTTAAACCATGAAAACTATAGAAGTTCTTCTCCAGCAGTGTGTTAATGGCCTCAGGGGTCACAAAAATGTCGTATGAAAATAATACAATCAGTTTAAAGTATTTTATTTAAGGATTTTATGTATATTTATACCTTTTGCAGAACCATAATATTTTTGCGCCAAAATTTGATTTTTGAACTTCCAATGATGCGGCTAAGTGTAAAAAAGCATATGTATGGGAAAATTTCAGGAACATGTGCCTGAAAGCACGAAAAAGAGAGAGAGAGAGCGAGCGAAAAAGAAAGCTGAAACCCGAAGTCACCCGCTTGTTGCTTTGCACATTGGCGCGTTCACCAAAACAACAATGATGGATCTTATCCATCATGTTGTAAGTTCTGGTGAACGCGTATGATCCATAAATTACTATTTAATTTTATTACAACTTCAATTGAAAGACTGAAAATTATCGATCGGATAAAACACAGTACCATTTTTATGGCAGATTTCCCCAAAGAAGGCGGGATAGGCTGAAATATGTATATCAGGGGTGCCAAAGCAATCACTAGTAAACTGGAAATCCGCGCAAAGGATTTCCGATTAAAAATTTCCGATGTGACACAGAATTTCTTAGAATTTTTACAAACCAAATTCGAACTAAGGCTAGGGCTGACACTTTCAAGATTTAGTTCGAATAGGGTTCATTCGCAGCTTTACTAATTTTATCATATCAAAACAATTGGTTTTTAATTTTTTTCTTTTATAATATAAAATAATTGATTTTTCAAAGGTGTACTTTTATAATTTCGAAGCAAAAAAACATCCCATTTCGTGCGCGTCAAACAAAACAATGTACTTGGCGAATCTAGCAGTTGTCTGGCAAGTTTTTGTGCATGGCAGCAATCAGCTGTTAAACAAAAACAGACATCTGAATTTTATGTTAAACTTAATAAAAATCCTTTTAGCGGGACTGTTGGCCAGCGAAGAGCTACGGAGGCAACATATTAAAATAGAAACCTTGCAGCGCAGGCTTCTCAAATGCGCATCGGACTCGTTTTCGCGTTCAGACGATACGTATGTGTTTTTTGTGATTGTGTTCTCAAACTACTGCTAATTTTGTTCATTACAATTAATAGTTTTTGGTATAATGATCGCTATGCTTCTATTTGTGCTACCATTGGTCTGCACTTAGCCGAAAAGTGTCTTTTGACATATATGCAATGGAACTAATGTGTATAATGTGCTAGTTCTGTTTTGGCATTTTGAAGCGATGCCACCTGTTAGAGCTGCAATTGACTACAAATGTTTTCACAAGTAAAGGAAGTTTTACTGCAATGAGGTATTTCATTTAATGCTTAACTAAAGAAAAACAGAATGCTTTCAAAATAATTAATGTTAAATATCTTGCTCCGACATCGGCTTAAAAAAGGTGGCATTACTGTCCTAACTTCGAAAGTCCGAAACGCCCAAGGTGGCCACTCGGACGCCAGCGAATTGAGCGCGGAATCGTTAAGTGAAAATTCAGTCAGTGGATAGTGATTTACTAAAATGCTTATTTTATTAGCTTAACATGTATAATGTTAAATTACTTGGATGACAGTTAATCACCAATTGAACAACCTTTATGGGAAAGTAAGATTCTAATCGTTTTAGGTGTGTTTTATGGCTGTATTTAATCAAATCGCTGGATAAATTGTGCGCGATTATGATTCCGTTAAAAAATCGGTGCGTGGCACCGCGAAATGGATTTGAGGTGAAATTCCAGAGGAAGTGATTTCTGTGGCACCCCTGATAAAACACACTCAAACAATTCGAATCTTACTTTCCCATACAGGATCTTTAATGGGTGATTACCCCTTATCCAAATATTTTGACATTATACAAGTTAATAAATAAGCATAATAATAAAATAAATACAATGTAACGAATCATGGTTCTAGCCATGTCTCGTCACAAACGGCGAAGAGTCAGCGCATCCACGCTGGCCGGAGACAACAATCAAACTGATATACATAGAGCTAACAAACCATGGTTCTCCACAAATAGCGGTGTGTCAGCAACTCCGGAAATAAAATAGTCTTATGCAACGCACGCAATTATTAAAAAATTAAAATTAAAATTAAATCTGCATTATTTCGCAATCAGCGAAGATAGCACAAAATGCTCGGTCACTCACCTCCTGGCGATCTTTCGCAACCATTCGGCCTCAGGTCATCAACTTACCACTCAACTTCCGCCATGCAGAGTTAGCGAAAACTCATTTTTTTACACCAAATACCCAATTCCCAACTGCACCTTCTGGGATGCAGCCTCAGCAAAACCACCCCGACCTACTCAAAATTGTCAACGAAGCACCAAGCTTCGACCTAGTTACCACACCCCACAATTATTGTTACCCAATAACCTTAAGCTAGCAATAAGCCATTATTTCCGGGTCTCAGGTGCGATCGCCAGCTGCATAAAAGGGCAAAGATCGGCCGAAAAAACAGGCAGTCCATCAGCCCGAATACAAGACACAGGCAGTCCCTCAGTCACACACCCAAGACACTGCACTACGCAGTGTCTGCACTAGCAGAATTAAAGTGAATGAAAAAGAATACTGAATAAAACCAAGAAACCAGCAAACAAAAACTCTCGCATCATCATTTCTCGCTTGTCTACTGCATTTTTCAATCCAGCCCGACACCTGAAGTCACCTACAAACTACAAAATTTTCTTGTAGCGGACCCTGGGCAGACTGATGCATACCTCAGCCTGAAATAGGACCTCACAACAATAATTTAATAAAATAAGCATTTTAGTAAATCGCTATTCAATACGCTGCCTGAATTTTCATTTAACGATTCCGCGGGCATTCGAGAGTGCCACCTTGTTTGATTCGGACTTTCGAAGTTAGAACAGTAATGCCACCTTTATAAGCCGGATTCGGAGTAAGGTATTTAATAGAGCCCTGCACGAATCCACATGATTCATAAAATCACAGTATACTCATGCCCCTTCAATGCGTTCGATCATTACAAATCATGCCTTCAGTCAGATTCGAATCACCGAAAAAACAGAATCCGAGCACTGCGAATCAATATCAGCAAGCTTCGTTCGCATGGCTCTAAACTGATTCAAAACATACTACGAAGAAAACTTCCTTTGTAGCGTGCACATGTTCTGCATGTACATATGTAAAACAATATTGCACAGAGCCACACAAAGGCACACACACAAATAAATATTTTCAGGCCGAGGGCAAAGCAAAAAATCAGAAAATTTTTGTATTGCTTTCTCGATCTCTCTACCAGAAAATCAAGTGGAGAGTAGAAGAGAGAGAAAAACCGAACTGTTCGGATCTGACAAAGTAAAAATTACGAGACATGATTCGTTCGGTCCGTTTTGGGCGTACGATTCGAAGTTATGAGATGATTCAATGCAATAGGACGAAGCGAATCGATTCGGTTGCTCGTTCATGCAGGGCTCTAGTATTTTATATTGCACATATTGAAAGCATTCTATTTTTTTTGAAATAGTAGTAATAGTAAAACTTCTTTTACCTCAAACATTCGCGTTCTCGTTGGGCAAATTGCGAAATCATTTGCCACCAGTTGTAGTTCTACCAGGTGGCAGTGCTTTAAAATGTCAAACAGAACTAACACTTCTACACATTACAGTCATTGCAATTATGTTTAAAAACCCTGTTCGGCTAAGCGCAGGCCCATGGCAGCACGAAGAGAAGCATAGCGATACCAAAAACTGTTAATTGTAATGAAATAAATTAGCAGTTTGAGAAGATAATCACAAAAACCACATACGTATCGTCTAATCGTGAAAACGGGTCCGATGCGAATCTGAGAAGGCTGCGTTGCAAGGTATATTTTCTAATCTGTTGCCATCGTAGCTCTTACATTTTTAATCAGTCTCTCTAATGGCATATTTCTTAAATTTAACCAGTTTAACCGCCCGATATTTTATTTTCTGTGCTTCTGCTTCTTCTTCTTTCGGGTTTGATTTCAAAGTGATTCTGATTTCTTACTTTCACAGTTTGGCTACTTTTTATACCCGTACTCAAAAAAGAGTTAAGGGGTATATTAGATTTGTGGTAAAAGTGGATGTGTGTA